GTGAAGAATAAAGAACTTCTCTCAACTATTTTTTGTGACTTCCTGTGAATAAATAACTTTTTAAAAATAAAAATTAAAAAAATACATTATTGGATCAGCAAATGTATTTTAGAATAGCTGTCAAGAAACTTGCTTTGGTCAGGCTTCTGAACCTCCAGAGTCTCAAATTCCTTATCCTACAGATAGGGTCTCAAAGGTAAGCTATGAAAATAGGATAAAATCAAAGACTATCATAAGAGTACTTCCTAAATCTCACCATTCCCAAAAAGGATTGTCTCTTAATCGACTAAGTTCCTTTGTTACATAGAAGTCTTTCTACCTCCACTATTTTTGGAAGAGTGTCTGAAAGTTTGGTGTCAGCAGCTCTTTGGAAGAATTCATCAATGAAGCTATAGAGTCTTGGACTTTTTAATAGGATTTTGTTCTTAAAAAGGAGGTAGGGAACTGTGTAATTTGTTCCTGCAACAGAAGAAATAACCCAACCTGTTACCACGAGATTAGTTTTGGTTGTTTCAGAAAAATAATTTTTTAAATGGGCAGAAAATGAGGCAGTCTTTTCCTCATGTAGATCATTCATCTAAAAAAATATCCTATAAAAAGTTTAAATCATGCTGGGTTTTGACACTGTGGTTTGCTATTTAGTTAGAACTGACCCATAGCTGACCCTCCAGTGGGTTTTCAGAGGCAGTAAATCGCACAGGAGGAGACAGCCCACCTAATTCCCGTGGAGCAGCTAATGGATTAGAAATGCATGCCTTTGAGATCACAGTGCCACTTCTTACCACTAGGTCACCAGAGAGCTCCCTTTTGTCATCACAAGTGGTCTAAATAAATCCTCACAACCACCTTGGGTAGTCAGAACTCTAATCCCCATTTTACACAAGAGATAACTAAGGCTGAAAAGTTATGCAATCTGTCGCAGGTCTCTGTTAGAACTACTAACCTCTGGTCCTCAGTATTTTCATCTGTAATGATAAATGGTACCTACTTCATAAGGACGTTGTGTAAAGTGCACATCAAATGCTTGTGGAGGTGCTCAGCTTACAGTAAGGACTTAACTTTATTTGTGATGTTTTACTAGATACGGCCAACCAACGGTTCCATGGGAGAAAGATAGGCTATCTCCTCATGTCAGAAATCTCCACATTGTCAGAAATCCAAAGGAGGGTCAACTACGATTAGGTTCCAACACAATGGCACTGAAAAAAGGAGAGCGTGCAAGCATGAGCAAGCAAACAACAGTGTCCGACAATATGTCAGTCAGAAATTCAAGCAGAAGACAAGGAAAGAGGTATCACTGCTAACGTCATATGGGTTCTGGTTAAAAGCAGAAAACAAAAGAATAATATCAGAATGATGTTTACCTGTGTTTTACTGACTCTGCAAAAGCATTCAACTGTGTTTATCCTAACAAATTAAGGTTAACAGTGAGAAGAATAAAAATTCTAGAACAGTTAAATATGCTCATGCAAAACCTGTACGTAAATCAAGATACAGTCCTTCAAAAAGAACATGGGGATACTGCATGTTTTAAAATCGGGAAAGGGGTGTATCAGTGTTTTATCTTTTTACCACATTCAACTTGTATGCTTAACAAATAATCTATAATATTCAAAAGGTACAATTCTGCCTGCTAAAATCAAAAACTTGAAGTACTTACTGAAGATCAAAGATTACAGAGCTTTCAGTATGGATTATACATCAATATAAAGAAAAAAAAATCCTCACAATGCCAATAAGCAACATAATGATTAATAAAGAAAACACTGACTTGGTCAAAGATTTCATTTTACTTGGATTCACAATCAACACCTATAGTAGGAAGAGTCAAGAAAGCCAACTGACATACTGTATGGGTCTCTATAAAGCAGCAAAAAGCAAAAACATACTTTGAAAACTAAGATGTCCTTGAGCAGAGCCAAGGTATTTTCAATTACTTCAACCAGTCCCTGAGGAAGGAAACCATGTTAGGTAAACTATATGGTCAATGAAAGAAAGGAAAACCCTCAATGAGATGGACTAGTCACAGTGGCTACAACAATGGACTGAACTATACCAGAATGAGGATGGCAAGAGGACCAGAAAGTTCTGTTCATAGGGTTGTTATGAGTCATAACTGGCTCTATGACGCTTACCAATAAGATAGTGCTCCATAACACCTTTTATTTAAGTTTTAAACATTTCAAAGCTGTAAGTTTTAAGGCAAGAAAGCTAAAAGTCTTCAATTAGACAGGAACTTCCAGTCAGGATATTACTGAGCCACTTTCTTTTTTTATACCTCTGACTTTACTTTATTACTCTTTCCATCTAGTAAAAATAATAGAGGTAAAGAAAAGCCATTAACACACAAAACTGTCTTTAATTTAAATACTCAGCTATTAAAGTTGATCTTCCCATTACCTACCTTGTTTACACTTCTGGATTTTTTTTTCATGGGAATATCCAAATTGTTTCTCTGTAACATTTTCTCTTTCCCTAGAAACTACATAGCTGTAAGATGTTAAATATTTTATTCTGAAAAGATTCTCCTCCAAAAAAGTACCAACCTTAATTTAAAAGTGTATCTGTTGTAAAAAGAAAGCAACATACAATGGGATCAGCATAAAGAAAGGAAAGACACTGAGAAGTGAAGACTGATAATGGAAATCAGAATTATAGGAAAGGAATGAGGAAATTGCAATTACATTGTGGATACTGAAATAATGTTATAAAACAAAATGTGTATGAATGGTTGAATGAAAAATTATCTTGCTCTGTTAAGTCTTTACTCAAAATACAATTGAAAATAAGTTATCTGTTCCAACATCAAAACATTCAGTTAGCATTTTCCTAACAGTTCTACAGTAAGCTACATAGGCTATAACTACATTTAGGGACTTTTATTACTTTTCTAGTAATATCAATTCTACTTAATTTTATTATCTTTTCAAAGTAATTTTATGTTCATCATCTAATTTATCCCTTTCAGTAACCCCATTATGATAAGATATCTGAGACAGTTCATTCCCATTTCAAAGATGTGTTCAGCCAGAGCAGTGTAAAACCTAGGTAGCCAGCTGAAACCAAAATTCAAAGTCTCTGGAACTGAAATATGTTTACCAACTGTCATTTCCTTCCTTTAACCTGTCATGCAAGACAAACAGACACTAAGCAAAGGTATTCAACTGTTTGATTACAAAAGTGCAGCGGTAACTTGTCAAAGCACTTATCCCTTGCGGTCCCTGGAAGATAATGTGATAGCTGAACTACTGCTAAGTTATGATAAGATGGGAAGGGGCAGTTTTCATTGAGTTTAGAAAATCTATTTGTTATGTAATATTTACTCCAATACAGAGCTTATTTTTGCCTTCTTATAATCCAGTTACCTGGGCTTGTTTCTTGTGCATCCTATCCTAGCTAGTGCAAAGGTTCTTTACCTCTGATTTTAAAAGAATTACAGCAAAAGTATGAGATGTTAGTAGCTTGTAATCATTCATTTCAAATACTGGGTTGCAGAATTAAATTTAAAGATCAACACAATGATTCCACTTTAAAAATTTCTACTTATTATAAAATTAAGTTACTGCCACTTCCTAAATTAAAAGTAAAAAAAAACTTAACTGTGTTCACCTTTGTCCTTTCAAGCTTTTAATATTCAGCTCAGTTTAACTTCCTTTAACTAGCAGTAAATGTGTCATGCTTGGCATTTAATTCAAAAGGTCCAATTTCTTCTACATTTTATAAAGGTAACTTTATGTCCTGGGAAATAATACTTCACCAATACAAGACTATGTTTATCAACGTAGTTAGCTAACATTTAGATTTGTGTTCTATTTTACATACATTTTATTTTGATATTGAAAACTTCATCACATAGCAACTTTTATAGAGCCCATATCATTTCCAAGGCTGTAAATCAGAAGCAGACTAGGCTGGTGGTTTGAAAAGTCCACCTTTTGGTTAGCAGCACCTAGTTCCTAGGAGAATGCACTAACCCAAAGGTTATGCCTTTCTGGTGGTTCACTTCTCTGGGGAAAATAATGTTAATTTCCTGCCATGTGATTTACAGCCTTGGAAACTGAATAGAGAGTGATCAGCTATGAAGGGGTTGTGACTCCAATGCAAAGGGAGAGAAAAGAGAAAACTCTACCAGCTATATTACTTTTTGGGAAGTGGGACATAAAGAAAGCTAAGCAAAATGACTACCAAATGGTCCAGGAAGAATCTGAAACAGGCTTATACTTAACCACTATAACAAAAGTGACTAACCTCCCATTCTAACACCAACCTGATAATTAAACTAATCAAATGACCTTGGCCAGTCAGGTAGTTTTAAGACCTCCGTTTCCTCCACTATAGAATGAGTGGCACCCAGTAAGTTTTCATTTTCAGGAACTTTGCTGTTCTTAATGTCCTAGGAATCTGACTGGATTACTCTCCAACCCCAAGTAAGCGCTGTAAACTTTCTTAACCACTGCATTTTCTAGTACTTTCCCCTTATTTTTCAGAGTTCTGGTGTTTTAATTTTCCCTTAGGATTTTGTTTTAAAATATTCTGAACCTTTAACGCCAATATGAAATAATCTCTCGATCAGCCATCACCTTTCTTTTCCCCATGCTAGGGTACCGAGTAGGCCCGATCCCACTCCACACCTTTACACCCAATTACTTCAGCCTGCCTCGTGGCTTTGAGGCAGCTAGTGAAGGGGCCTTTAAATAAAATCCTAGAAGCAAAGCCACAGAAAAAGGTTAGCCTTCCCAGGGGTCAAGGGAGGCTTCAGGGCACCTGCCACGCCTCCTGAACCCCGCAGTGGCCGGGCTGAAGGCCTGGCTGCCCAAACGAGGTGGGCCACGTACCAGGCCTTGTTTCTTACCGCCGACACGTCTGCCAGAGGCAGGACCCTGAAACCCAGCCTGACCCCTCAGGTCTCGGACCACGCCCGGCTCCTCGGCTGCGGCGCCGCGACCTCAGGCCACCTGGGGTCCTTGGGCCCGAAGGTGCACACAGGCCTCCCGCCTCACCTTGAGCCTTTCGGGAACCGCTGGCGGCACCCGCGCCTCCTCCCGCCCGCGCACCTGGCCCTGTGCTGCAGTGGAGACAGTAGTGGAGGTGGCCCGACCGTCACGTGCCGCAGAAGCAAGAGGCCTCAGCCACCGCCGCTGCCGCCGCGCGAGCAACCCCACCACACGAAACCCGGCCCTGCCTCCGCCCCTCGCTCTTGAGTGGTGGCAGACGAAGTCAAGTCCCACCCCACGACGCAAACGCCGAAACTCCGTTGGTCAATGTGACCATCGCTCTATACACCTTCCCATACGCCCCCTAGGGCTATTCTTCGTGGAGGGTGAGGACTGGCTGGAAGTGAGGAAGGAAATGGCTGCTGATTGGGTAGGAAGTGAGGGGGCGGGTCTCAACAGAATCGGCAACGGCAGGCGCGCGCGCCTTGGGCGGGGTCGGCCAACCGGCATTCTCTGGCTGCGTTGCCATGGTATTTTAGTGGCCACATGGTCTGGGTTTTTATCCAAATTTCTCTTCTGGGCAACCTACAAGCCCGCTGATGGAGTGGGAGGACATAACGTCCATCAGTAAGGGCGAGGGCCCCACGCAGTAATTGCTTCCGTGGGGGGCAGCCGAAATCAACACGTATGGCTTTGGCCAAATCTGAGTAGACTGCACAGCTCTTTCTAGTTCGCCCCTGTTGGTGCAGAGTCATTGCTCTGAACTCTTAATCTTGCGATTGCCACATAGTCTTAATATAAAATAACTTAGATAATATCGATAGTCTAAAAGTATGTGAAGCTTTCCATTTGTGATGTTTCCTGCACGTGAAATTAGACATAAGGGTACATAGATGCATTGATGGCATGCTTGAGAAGAAAAGATAGTGCAGTGGACATATTTCAAATAACCCACAATTTTTGTAACTTGTTTTTTTAATTACTTTCAGGAAGCTCTCTTGTGTAGGCTCCAAGGAGTTCCACTGCTAATTCAAAAGGCCACGCCTCACTGGCAAAAGGATTTGCTGAGATAGAAAAAGGGGCTAACTCCCGTGAGTCCGTATAATAATGTGTTCAGTTATTTGGGGATTCCCCCCCCCCCCAAGTTGCTGTGAAGCTGGATGAAGTGTATTCAGGGGGTTTTTTGTTTGTGTTTTGTGTGTGTGTGTGTGTGTGTGTGTGTGTGTGTGTGTGTGTATTCAGTTTTGAATACGGTGAGAACCTCAGAGAATGGAAGCGGCCTGAGATTTTTCTAGACCATTTAGAGGCCCAAGTCTCTTCCACAATTGTTTTAGAGTGGGTTCTCTAGAGAAGCAAAACCAATGAAGCAGAGAGACGGGAGAGAATGAGTAAGATAGTCACAGAAATGGTTCACATGCTTGTCAAGTCCCATATCAACTGGAGGCAACCAGCTTCAAAGGCTCATGCTTCTGAGGCTGCTGCATCGAGGACATAGGGACTACTTTTGGATACTGAGACACCAAAGGCGGTAAATAGAGCAGGCCACTGGTTCAAGTCTGGAGACCAGGGAGCTAGATAGCCAGAAGTAGCTCTGACTAAAAGCTCCCTAGGTTTGCCAGAGTTTGAAACCAAATGGTGTGCAGAGATCTACCCTTACTCAGATAAAGCTTATTAATATCTTCCAATTCTATCTTATTAACATAACACAGAATAGGTATACTGAGTATCACTGTCACATTGACACACAATATTAACCATCACACTATTTGGGGGGGGGGAAGGGTTTGGTTGCTTAAGGGTTGTTTTCTTGTTGTGTACCATCGAACCGGATACAATTGGCACAGGAGTAAACTGACCCTCCTTCTCCAGTGGAGCATCTGGTGGATTCGAACTGCGCGGCTTTGGGATTGCAGGGCAGCTTCTTACCACAAAGCCACGAGAACTCCCTCCATCACAATACTTGTTGATATGCCCAAAGACTTAGGCAGAAAAACTCTAGAAACGGTATATTACCTGTTCTACGAACCAGCTTAACTACATAAAAATGCCACCTGGAAGGTGAAAAGAAACAGTCAAGGTTTGGTGTTTGATTAAGTTTTATTACTCAACTTCAGGGAATTGTGGGATATAGACCACAACCCTGTGGCAATACAAACCAATCTTTGGCTCTGAAGGAGAAAGAAGACCTATCTCCTGCGCTGGGATGCACAGACTCTGAAGCCTGCTGGGGTGTCAGCTATGAGTTAGTTAGTTCCTACTCAATTGTAATAAAAGTGAGTGTGAGGGAATCAACTCTCAAACACCATATTTACTTAAGAGGATTTTGGGTTAAGAAGTAATATTATGGATGTCAAATATATAAAACATAGTTTAAAAGGAGAGGTTATGTATGTAAGCATTGCAAAGGTAAATTCTAAAAAAAAAAGGAAGGTCGTATTCAAGTTAATTTAATGGTGTTTGAATGCTAAGAAACAGTTTTTATCTAGGAAGAAGAGAGATTGGAGTAGAATTGAATGGGGCTTTGTAGGATATGTAGGATTTTTAAGGGTAGAGAATGGGAAGAAGGCTCCTTTAGAGAATGAAATAGCCTGAGCAAAGGTAAGAAAACAGGTTAAGTGTGTTTGAGGGCACAATTGACAAAGTGTTTTGGCTAGAGAAAAGGGTTTATGAAAGTGAGTGAAGGAAGATTAACTCTAGAGTTAGACTGAAACTAGACCTTAAATGCCAAGCTAAAAGAATTCATAGGGAGATATTTTAGATTTTAAATTTGGGTCATGATGTAAGTATCTTAGCATTTTTATACTATTACAGGGATATTTAAAAGATTAGCAACTACGAAGTCAATTAGGAAGTCACTTCCTACAGGGCTGTTGATAGATACTGTGAAATCTCCTAGAGACCCTATGAACAACAGATCTGGGGATAGCTAATGTGTAGTATGTTTGTTGTTGTTATGTGCCATTGAGTCGCTTGTGACTCATGGTGACCCTTTGTACAACAGCCCTGAAACCTGTAGTTTGGAAACTAAGGTGTACCTGATCTTGGCCAAGGTCATCTCAATTGTTTGTTATGCATCTGAGAGCAGGACAATGAATAAGGATGACAGAACAAGAATCGATGACTTTGAGTTTTGGTGCTGGAGATGAGTCTTGCCTACAACCAGGAGATGAATGTGGCCCTTTAAGAATCAAATCTCTATACACATCAAGAAACTTCCAACAGTATAAAAAGGAAAGCCACAGGTTGGGAAATAATATCTGATAATGACATATCTAAATAAGGGACTCATATAAAAAATTATAGAATACTTCAGCACATCAACAAGGAAAAAGTAAACAAACCAATCACAAAACGGGCAAAGGATATGAACAGACACTTCACCAAAGAAGACATTCAGATGGCAAAAAAATGAAGAAATGTTCAAAATCTCAAGCCCTCAGAGAGATACAGATCAAAACAACTATGCGATATCATCTCACCACAATAACAATAGTAAAATTCAACAGAGCAGCAAACAACAAATGCTGGTGAGGTTGTGGAGAGAGTGGAACCCTTATTCACTGCTGGTGGGAGTGTAAGATGGTGCAATCACTGTGGAAGGCAGTCCTTTCTCAGAAGGTGGAAATCCACTTCACCGAAGAAGACATTCAGATGGCTAACAAGCACATGAAGAAATGCTCAAAATCCCTAGCTCTAAGAGAGATGCAAATTAAAACAACTATGAGATATCATCTCACCCCAGACAGCAAAATTTAACAGAACAGCAAGCAACAAAT